TTACTAAGGCAGCTGGAGACGGATTACTAAGGCAACTGGAGACGGGTTACTAAGGCAGCTGGAGACGGGTTACTAAGGCAGCTGGAGACGGGTTACTAGTCACATAATGTGGTGTTCTATCGACTAGGTATTTTACGTTTGTGGTGTACCGATTACAGTTTTTATTCGGCTCAAATTGTGATGAAGTTATAAGTCTAGTAACGTTTTGCATGACTGTAGCTTCTGGCACGCTGCATCGTTATGACATGAGTAAGAGACATGCAGCCTAGGCGCCCCGCCTCCTTGAAATTGAAATTGAAATCAGTTTATTGAGGTAAAATAGACACAAAGGGAATAGCTCAAGCTATTCTCACCCCGTTCAGTACATCGTGTTAATACATTAATACATACATATAAACACATCACAAACAATAAACATATTACCAAACATTCTGAGAGATAAACATCTACATTTCCACCGCCTCCATGGGACCCCGCCACGGGGGGGGGGGGGGGAGGGGGCAACACTTGGGAACTCCGCCAAAAATATTCCTAATTGGGCCCCTCACAGCTGTGGCAAGGGCGGCCATAATGGAAGAACTAATGTAAATTTCATCTTTCTTCACAAGGTAATTAAATTTTGTCGGAGTTGTCTGTAAATTGCTGCTCTGAGGCTACTCAGTTCCCTGTCTTAGGCTACTGACTTTCCGCCCAAAAGGTAATTTTTAAGAACGTGTACTTTGCCCACTCGTTAATTATACAATGAATTTGTTGCCAGAATAGGATGAGATTCATGGGTCATTTATTATATATGTTTCTTTCTTCTGACACAAGCATCTTGCAGCGGTCTTGAGTGAAGTCGGAGTCAGGTTATCTTGAGATGATTTCGGGGCTTTTTAGTGTCCCCGCGGCCCGGTCCTCGACCAGGCCTCCACCCCCAGGAAGCAGCCCGTGGTGACAGCTGACTAACTCCCAGGTACCTATTTTACTGCTAGGTAACAGGGGCATAGGGTGAAAGAAACTCTGCCCATTGTTTCTCGCCGGAGTCGCTTGCAATTAACACGTCAACTTCAAATACCTATACTTTTTATTTTTATTTATATATATACAAGAAGGTACATTGAGATTGTGAGGATACATAGGAGAGTAATTACATTCTTGTAAAGCCACTAGTACGCGCAGCGTTTCGGGCAGGTCCTTAACCTAAGAAACTTATAAGTAGGTAAATACTTGCAAAATTCGAGTTGTAATACTTACTCGTTCGAGTTGAAGGATTATGGAAACCATTCTCTCGGAAGAATAGAAGCGATTGTGCAGCCTGTTAGGAACCATCAGGGCAAATTATTTGTGTTGGGAGAACACTTTGCGAACGGAAGCATCAATATATCATCAATGCTGATGATATATGCAAATATATCATTGCTAATGATGTACACGCAGCTTTCAACGCTTCGGTCGGAGGTTCGCGCCGCCTCACAGCCCTAGTGGATTAATTTTCATAGCTAACAATACATTTTTCTGGGTCTTCTAGGCATAGCGTTTAGCGGCATATTGATTAATACATTAAACAGGACTGAGGACGCCTCCCTGCGGGATGATTATCTATCTTGAGATGATTTTGGGGCTTAGTGTCCCCGCGGCCCTGTCCTCGACTAGGCTTCCACCCCCAGGAAGCAGCCCGTGACAGCTGACTAACTCCCAGGTACCTATATACTGCTAGGTAACAAGGGCATCAAGGTGAAAGAAATTCTGCCCATTGTTTCTCGCCGGCGCCCTGGATGGAACCCGGGACCACAGGATCCGCGTCCAATGCCCTTGGAACGTCACAGATGGCTTCCTGTTGGATACGTAACTTCTCCAAGGCAGGACCCGTCCTCCAGGATCCTCTCCGGCGAGTTTACTCAGGATTAAGTGCCAGTTTACAATGTCAAAGGAAGACTTAAGGTGTTGTGAAGTAGTTTATGACCTCAGCATGCGGGGTAAGGAGGGGTAGTGAAGTCAAGGTGCGGAACAGCCATCAATTGTGTGTGTGGAATGTCGCCCAGACAGTAACATTAATGGCTGGTGGAGTTTGCTTCTCGGATATGTGGTTGTAAGGGTCGTAAGCCTTGTGGTTTGTGAAGCGTATTTAAGGATGATGGTTAGTAAGAGGTAGTTGAGAAGAGCAGCAAGTTACAGGTATAGCCTCCCCTCTCCCTTCCCCCCCGAGCCTGAGAAGGGAGGCTCTTAGGTCTTGGGGAGTAGAAGAACTCCAAGAACCTCAGCCATGAACAATGCAGTAAGAGGCAGTTGAGAAGCGTGGCTTGGAAGAGGTATAGCATCTTCAGGTGCGGTGTGAGATGGGCATCTCTTCCAATAAATATCGTCTCTAGATAAAAATCATTATAATTACAAAGAGTTGGGAAGGGATGGGGCATGAAGGGCTGGGGGAAGGGGTCGGGGCATGAAGGGCCAGTAGCCGCCGGGACGACGTCCGTGTGTGTGTTGGAGGGGATAAGTGACCAGGTATTGCTAGACGCGGCTAGCATTGCTACTTATACCTCCATTACTCTCTTGCTTCCACGGCCTCACCACATCAGTCCAGAGAGTGTGTACTCACCTATTTCTGCTTGCAGGATCGAGCATTGACTCTTAGATCCCGCCTTTCTAGCCATCGGTTGTTTACAGCAATGACTCTTGTCCCATTTCCCTATCATATCTAGTTTTTAAATTATGAATAGTGTGTGCTTCCACAACCTGCTCCTTAAGTGTATTCCATTTTCCACTACTATTTTTCAATATTAACCCCTATCATAGGGGCTAATAGGAGTGATAGGAGCCCCTATCACTCACGCTAAAGGAAAACTTCCTAATATCTCTGTAACTCATCTGAGTTTCCACCCATGTCCCCTTGTTCTGTTACTAGTACATGTGAACATTTCATCTATTTCCACTTTATCAATTTCCTTGAGTATTTTATATGTCCCTATCATATCCCCTCTCCCTTCTTTTTTCTAGTGTCGTAAGGTTCAATTCCTTCAGGCGCTCATCATATCACATCCCTCGTAACTCTGGGACAAGCCTCGTTGCACACTTCTGAACCTTTTCCAGTTTCCTTGTGTGTTTTTTCAGGTGGGGACTCCATGATGGCACGGCATACACTAAGACTGGCCTCACGTGTGTGTGTGTGTACTCACCTATTTGTGCTTGCGGGGGTTGAGCTTTGGCTCTTTGGTCCCGCCTCTCAACTGTCAATCAACTGGTGTACAGATTCCTGAGCCTACTGGGCTCTATCATATATACATTTGAAACTGTGTATGGAGTCAGCCTCCACCACATCACTTCCTAATGCATTCCATTTGTCAACCACTCTGACACTAAGAAAGTTCTTTCTAATATCTCTGTGGCTCATTTGGGCACTCAGTTTCCACCTGTGTCCCCCTTGTGCGTGTGCCCCTTGTGTTAAATAGCCTGTCTTTATCTACCCTATCAGTTCCCTTCAGTAATCTTGTGAACATTATAATGTGTGTATGTGTACCTGTTGCTTGTTGTGTGTAATTACCTAAGTGTAGTTACAGGATGAGAGCTACGCTCGTGGTGTCCCGTCTTCCCAGCACTCTTTGTCATATAGCACTTTGAAACTACTGACGGTTTTGGCCTCCACCACCTTCTCACCTAACTTGTGTGTGTGTACTCACCTATTTGTACTCACCTATTTGTGCTTGCAGGATCGAGCATTGACTCTTGGATCCCGCCTTTCCAGCTATCGGTTGTTTACAGCAATGACTCCTGTCCCATTTCCCTATCATATCTAGTTTTAAAAGTATGAATAGTATTTGCTTCCACAACCTGTTCCCCAAGTGCATTCCATTTTTCCACTACTCTCACGCTAAAAGAAAACTTCCTAACATCTCTGTGACTCATCTGAGTTTCCAGTTTCCACCCATGTCCCTGTGTGTGTGTGTGTGTGTGTGTGTGTGTGTGTGTGTACCTATTTGTGTCAACAGAGGAGTGAGGTCTAGCTTTTTATGCCCCCGCCTACTAACCTTGTACCTGTTACATTTCAACCTAACTACTCAGACTTTCAAATTATTTGTTGAATTGGGCCTTAAAGTTGTGTGTGTGTGTGTGTCTTTGTGACTGACAATCTGTCTGACAGACAGCCAACCAGCCAGCCCGCTAGCCAGCCAGCCAGCCAGCCAGTCAGCCAGCCAGCCAGTCCGTTCGTCAAATGCTTAATTGCCAGCTAAAGAAAAATTTGTGTACTGTACAATACTGTTCGTTAATTACCCAAAGCAACCCAAAGCTTCCAAGCATTACGTAAGTAATGAATAAATATTACATATTTACTCACTATAATGTTGGTGCTGAGCCACAACATTGTCGCTTGGATTGTCAACTTCCTATAGCGGTAGCTGCTACCTAGTTTTGTCTAATTTTTTTATAAAATTTATATTATTTCAGAGGAAAAAAGTTTTTTCATGTTCTACATTCAGCACCAATATTATAATGAGTAAATATATCATCTTTCTTCATTGCTTGCGTAATGCTAAGAATCTTTGGGTAGCTTTGAGTAATTAGACAGACCCGTACAACTTCTTAAAAAAATTTAATAATCTGTAATAAGATTATTCACCTTACAAACTGTCATTATTAATCTTATTTGATTTATATAGTTTTATCACATTCATTATTACATTTCCACAATAGATGTTCTGTATATTATATGATATTGTAGTGAGTAGATTATGCCAATAATATACTCACTCCGAACTCATTAGCTAATGAGTTTGGAGTGAGTATATTATTGGCATAATCTACACGCTACAATATAATGATTGACGTGAAAAATTTTGCAACAAATACCAGTAATGAAATTTAACATTGACAAAGATCCTTCTGAAGATGTATTGATTAATATGAAAGTCGAATCTAATCTAATTGTCATGGCCGACACTGTCACATTATTACACACACACATATTGACAAATGATTTACATTTCTTTCATATAGCCATCTGATGGAGTACTTTTGCTTCTCAGGTTCCAATTTGACAATGCTGTGCTTGGCCAATGGTCATCCCAAACCAAGTGTGCGATGGACAAGGTATGGAGGGATGCTGCCATCTCGGAGTTCACAGGAGGAGGATGGGTCACTGTTCATCACCCAACTAGTAGTGGAGGATGAGGGCACATATCTGTGTCACGCAAATAACGGTGTCGGCACAGAGGTCATGTTGGATGTGTCGCTGGAGGTGTTAGGTATGATATTTTTTATGCTTCTCAAACTTAATACCTTTGCACAATGTATATTTTTATTTTTTATTTTATATATATACAAAGAGTTGTTACATTCTTGTACAACCACCAGCACGTATAGTGTTTCGGGCAGGTCCTCAATCCTAATTTTCCCAGGAATATGACCTGCCAAATCATTTAATAACCAGGTACCCATTCACTGCTGGGTGAACCAGTGTGTGCAGTTAAGGATTGTCGCCCAAGTCAATCCTCCTCGGCCAGGATATGAACCCAGACCGAAGTGCTCGCGAAGCGCCAGGCGACCTTGGTTACCTTGAGGTGCTTCCGGGGCTTAGTGTCCCCGCGGCCCGGTCGTCGACCAGGCCTCCTGGTTGCTGGACTGATCAACCAGGCTGTTAGACGCGGCTGCTCGCAGCCTGATGTATGAGTCACAGCCTGGTTGATCAGGTATCCTTTGGAGGTGCTTATCCAGTTCTCTCTTGAACACTGTGAGGGGTTTACGAGTGAATAACCACTGCTGGTATATTAATGAGAACATCTTTGGAACAGTTGAACATTGTCCTGGATCACCTCAGATGCTACTGAAGCTTAAATATTAAAACACACAGTTTTCTAAGCCATTGTAATAAATATCAAGTACTGAAACCTTAGCTCTTCTACATTCTTCGGCGTTAAAACACAATGATGAAAGTTTTTTAAGTTAGCATGCAGTCAGAGTAACTGTTGGGACCTTGCACTGTGAGAAATTTATATATATATATTGTACAGTAATTGAAGTGGATAAGGTCCCCCAGATGTACATTAGAGATTTCAAGGTCATGCAAGTGACCATAGTAGTGAAAGGTTCGCCAGTTTTACAGTGATGGTTAGCAGGTCACCCAAGTGTACAGTGATGGTTAGTAGAAGAAATTTGAAAACAAAATGCAGTATTTAGTCCTTAAATCACTTATGTTAAAATAGTACAGTACAGTATAATAATTCACACAGTACAGTATAATAATAATAATAAGGACAGTACAGTATATTGGTTTTATAATGCATGAAAAAATTTTCAACAGAGCCCAATGTTTATTTAATTCTTTTCTAATCATTCAATATGCCAATTAAATTAAATTCCCTAAATATTTTTGCAAACACTTTACTACCTTCTTGGAAAATTAAATGCTGTACAGTACCGTAATTTATGTCATGCATTATTATTTTTACAGGTATTGTATTTCTAAAACTTTCATGAATAATATATAACTGGATGGATTTCAGAGGCTCCGAGCATAACTCTAGCTCCTAAATCTCAAGTTGTGGAAGAAGGTAAAGGCGTGACTTTGTCATGTACAGCGGCAGGATACCCTCAGCCCAAAATCATGTGGGTCTTCAATGGAGGATTAGTAAGAAATGATGGCAATATATTAATTACGGGTAAATATCAAAACTTCTTGCTTCAGTTTTTAATCGGTAATACTGGTAGAGTACAGAGAAATGTGGTTTTTGTTTCTTAAAAAATAACAATGGAAAGTGTAAAATATACATTGAAATAAATTGTAAATTAACACAGAGGGATATGTGATATGTAAATTATATAAACAGTGTTCTCCTCACATGCAACTATCCATAAACCGGTATCCTCACAAATTTAGTGTTCAGAGATATTTGTGTAAATACTAAATTTAAATTGTTGTGATGTAGATACAGTACCACATGGAAGCATACTGGGCTTTTTGAGGCTTCGTGAGTGAATGAACTAATATATATATAATAATAAACTAGAGCAGAAGTATATCAAGAGCTACATGGTCAGTGATAGTGATTTGTTGATTAGTTGTGCATTGTGGACAGTCAGCAATTTGGAAAGTTAAGAAGGCCCAAATTAAGGCATTTTAGGCACAATAAGGCAAGATGTTAGGGTGATGTTGAGTTGCTGGTGACATCCATTGATTGAATAATGGCTCAGGTGTTTGCAAGATGTTGAGAACCAGATGTGAATTATTTAGAAGTTTGTCAAGTGCTATCTTTTTTTTTTTTTTTTTGAGATATATACAAGAGTTGTTACATTCTTGTATAGCCACTAGTACGCGTAGCGTTTCGGGCAAGTCCTTAATCCTATGGTCCCTGGAATACGATCCCCTGCCGCGAAGAATCGTTTTTTCATCCAAGTACACATTTTACTGTTGCGTTAAACAGAGGCTACAGTTAAGGAATTGCGCCCAGTAAATCCTCCCCGGCCAGGATACGAACCCATGACATAGCGCTCGCGGAACGCCAGGCGAGTGTCTTACCACTACACCACGGAGACTGCTATATCTCCTGTATAGCATTACATAATAATCGCTTAACTGGTAGATGATTTACTTTCCGGAATGGACTGGGACAAGGAATCAGTGAGCATGTTAGTTTTCAGTTAACCACAATAATAAAACTTTCATTTTATTTACAGAAAGTGGTTTAACCATTGAGGTTGTGGAGAAAGAACATGCAGGGATCTTCCAGTGTTTTGCTCACAACCCAGAGGGAACTGTACAAAGTGTAGCTGTGATAAGTGTAGTGCCGAAGACTGTCACTGCTGGCCCTCATGCTACTGCCCGTAATGGTAAGATAATTATAAATTTTGTTCTCACATCTTGCCTGAAACGCTGTGCATATTAGTGGCTTTAGGCATAGTATATACTAGCTCTTATCTAGAAATCCAACATTCTGCTTGTAACTCATTTTCTATGTATGTACTTTTACCTAAATAAAGTATTATTGTTATTATTATTATTATTATTATTATTATTATTATAAATAGTCAAACTTTGTAAGAGATACAACTGCTGTACTTATATTGTGTTCCCAGAGATCTATGCTTTCAAAATAGTGATTTTTTCTTCTAATCTGTCTGATAATTGATAATATTTTCAATTCAGTATAAAAGGAAGTGAGAGAATTCTTATTGTACAGAATTAGGATGTAAGAAATATAATTATAATAGAGTCCTTAAAATGACACAGAGTAAAAGAGCACCTGGCAAAATAACCTGCCACTCATTGAATATGGCAACGCGAGTAGGAGTATCTGTTAAAATACCTGTATTGTTTACTGTACTAATTTCATTGCTCTATACTGTAATTATTTTTTAGATAATTATAATTGTCTCCAGTCTCCGTGGTGTAGTGGTAAGACACTCGCCTGGCGTTCCGCGAGCGCTTTGTCAAGGGTTCGTATCCTGGCCGGGGAGGATTTACTGGGCGCAAATCCTTAACTGTAGCCTCTGTTTAACTCAACAGTAAAATGTGTACTTGGTTGTAACAACGATTCTTCGCGGCAGGGGATCGTATTCCAGGGACCTGCCCGAAACGCTATGTGTACTAATGGCTGTACAAGAATGTAACAACTCTTGTGTATATATCAAAAAAAAAAAAAAATTATCTCAACAAAGAAGCAAAATTTGCAATTTGAAATATGGGAACCAAACCACAGTTATGTACTGACCTTGTATGTAGTTTTCATTTAAAAATGCTATGTACATGTCTCTGCTTCGTGTTTATGCTGTATTCACCCCCTTGTGTGCGTGAGGTGAATACATGATGAGAAGTATTGGTTAAGACATAGGTGATATTCAATTTGTGACTGGACTGAGCATTCTTCAGTGCCCCCTAACACCTTATATGATCTGCAGGAATATAACTTGAAATGCTTCCTGTGGTACTGATGCAGTTTGAAAATGGATTTTATTTAATTTTATGGTTAATATTGATACTGCAGTATTATGATGTTTAAATGCAAAATGTCTTGAATTTCATTGACTAGGCAGATCATAAGTGCACAAATGTTTATAAGTGAAGTTTTGTGCATGTTGGTTACGATAAAGTTTATCTGTGAATACCAGTAGTTATAAAATATTCAATTTTAAACAAAATTGCATTTGCTTGATTTCCAGTCACATGTGTAACTTTTTTTTATATTGTACATATATATTTTTACTTTTTAATATTTGCTTAAAAACAAAAACCTTGAATTTTAGATTACGTGCCTAGTGAAACTACTGACAGTCGGAGATGGCGTAATGGTCAAAGAAGAGATGGTGGCGTAGGAGCTGGAGGAGGAGGAGGTAACGGTGGAGGTGAGAGAAGAAGTCACGGTCGGAATGGTGGAAATGGACATGGTGGAATATCAAGACAAAATGATGAAAAAGTTGAAGATCCGTCAGAAACTGGGGACACTGGTGGTTGGAAGAAGAAAGGAAAGAAAGGTTGGATATCTTGTTATCTGATTATTGCTTAATTTAATCTCTTAAGACACATCAGGTTATTAGTAACTTAACTCATCATTAACTCTATGAGTGTAACTCTAACTCTATGGGTATATAGGTGAGAATAATAGTGTGGCTCTTCTTTGCTTCATCTTGCACTATAGTCGGAACATGGCAGAAGAACATAGAAGAACGGAAGAACATTATTGATTATTGACCAACTTGTTTAACTGCTGATATCTGCCATGTATGATCTTAAAGAAAATTGTAATCTTCTGTTTCTTTCGTTAAAATTCCCTCTGCTGTTCTGTTGCATTTTCTGCTGTTCAATCCATCATGTAATTATTATCATTCTCGTTTTCTTTGTTTCCTATTTTTTAATTCAATATATGCTTTTGATCTCAATTAGTACAGTATAAAGTTTTAGTCTAAGTTTTTTCCCCACACTTTGCCCGAAACTCTGTGTGTATTAGTGGCTTCAGGCATTGTCCGACATTATGTTTGTAACTCATTTTCAAGATATATACCTTTACCTGAATAAATGTCTTATCTAAGAGATATAGGTACATTTGTGGGTACAATGACGTCCCCTTGAGTGGAGATAGGTGCAAGTATAGTATGTGCTCTATCATTTTAACAAGTAAATACTCAATAATAATAGAAAATAGATGCAAGGTTCATGCAGAAGTTATTATGTAACAAAAGAGTAGGTCCCAGCTGATCCAGATAATTGAAATTTAATCACTGTATGTACAGTACATGGATAATGAAATACCAAAGAAATTGTTCATGATTTATGAGACCATAGCTGGAATATACAGTGGTTGTATGGTGCCCATATCTTAAAAAGCACATCAACAAACTGGAAAAGGTGCAGTGACATGCAAATAAATGGTTCCCAGAACTGAAAAACAAGCTCTATGAGGAGAGGTTAGAGGCATCAAATATGCCAAAAGTAGTGGATCACTGCATACAAAACAGTAATGGGAATCAACAAAATTGATAGGAAAGAATTCCTGCGACCTGGAACTTCAAGAACAAGAGGTCATAGATTTAAGCTAACTAAACAAACCTGCCAAAGAATTATAAGAAAATTCACTTTTGTAAACAGAGTGGTAGACAGTTGGAACAAATTAATTGAAAAGGTGGTGGAGGCCAAAACTGTCAGTAGTTTCAAAGCGTTATATGACAAAAAGTGCTGACAAGACGGGACACCACGAGCGTTGCTCTTGTCCTGTAAATATACTTAGGTAATTAAACACACACACACACACACACACACACACACACACACACACACTGTAGCACAGATAGGGCATTTTCTAAGGTTCACCAGAGTTCTAAGTTTGTCAGGAACATTTTCTCCACACTGCCATGAAGCTTACACGCCAGTGGTGATATATATACATGATGCCAGTGCTTCCACTCCTTGGCTGCTGTAGGTGAGTTAGGATCAATATCCAGACAGGTATCAGTAGCTTCTCCATGGTAGGCTTGACAGCTTATTAAACTGTGCTGAGTAGTATTCAGTGAGAATCCTGAATCTACACTCCAGGTTCTGTAAGCTTGGTTCGTTACATACTATCGAAAATAATACAAAAAATAAATGTTGTAATAATACTGTACTGTATCTCAAAAGGGAATTCCAATTATCCTAATAATGAATATAATCAATGAGCACAAAATATTACTTCACAACAGCTATGATGTTTAGAAGAATCACAGACTACGAGGTATGCAGAACAATACAAATGCCGAGAAATAGAGAATTTCTGTACTTTTCCCCTGAACTAATTTCTACTGTTATAAGTGAAGCCAACTGTTGAATAATATTGGTGTATGCTTAATGAGTTCATAATATTTCAGGTTTGATGGTTCCACCATCCAAGCCAAGAATGACGAAAGTCTCAGATGAATCAGTGATGGTAACATGGGATGGCCCTGAAGCTTCAGGTTTACCTATTCTCTTTTATAAGGTAATGCTTTTATTTTCTTATGGTATACTGTATTTTGTTTTTCCTTTAAGTAATATTTTATTTTTGCATAGGCCAATCATTTTGGACAGATAATACTCCTTGTGACAGTGCATATGATGAGTCACAGTAGTGTGGCTGAAGATATGATAAACAAACCACACATCAGAAGATGGAGAAACGATGATGTTTCGGTCCGTCCTGGACCATTATTAAGTCGTATGTGCATATGACTTGATAATGTTCCAGGACGGACGGAAACGTCGTCGTTTCTCCATCTTCCGCTGTGTGGTTTGGTCATCCTTGTCAGAGTGTACCACTCAGCATCAGCTCCATTGCCAAACCAAAGTTTTTCTCTATCCTTTCAAAATATAATTAAGTAGTTCTAGGCAAAATATTGTCCAACTTTAATTCATCATTACACATTCCATCTAGATAGTTTAAACACCCTGTGTATGTATATTTCTTTTTAATACCTTGTATCTATTTGTTTACTTTTCCCATATCTTCCTACATTCTATTCCATTTAAGAAGATGTAAACCTCAGTGTTTCCTGCATTTACGTATCATGAAATGATCTTATGTTCTGTCACAATGTTCATTTTGTTATGGAAATGGATTCATATTCGGGTATTTGTGAGAGGAATGTGATGATAACAGCGGAGCACTTTTCCAGTGCTCATTTCAAGGTTTACTACAAGAAAGCTTCCTCATTCTTGGGATGAACTATGTCATTCCATGTTTAACCCCTGCAGTGCTCACCTGTTTTTGGCAAAACTTCATAGTGCAATTGTTAAGGACATATTTTTGTTGTTTTTATAAATGTTCCGGTAAAGTTAATATCAAAATGTTTCCAAACTCAACCATTTTCATTTTAAAACAAAAAAAAGTGATGAAAACATTAAAAAACATTAAAATATAACCAGATTAAAAAAAAAAAAGCACAACTCTCAGAACGATATTTCTTGGTCGGCGCAGCACAGTGGTTAAACTGAAGATTTTTTATTTATCATAAAGCACATACAAAGAGAAAGAACTCTAAAATTTGGCATCGTATATTAATGCTTTAAACTTTTTAACAGATTCAATATAAATTAGTCCGGAGCCGCGGGAGTCGTGGCAGCCGATGGATGACTGTGGACGAAGACATTCCACCCCACATTAACAGTTATGAAGTGACAGGTCTCCAGACTAGTCGCATTTACAGGTTAGTGGGAAAACTAAACAGCAGTTTTCCAATGTCACATTTAACTTCTGGCTTGTGATACAGACAAGTTTAAGTAGTGTAGACAGCTGTTTAGAATAAAGCAGACAGAAGGGCATTCAAACACATATAACAGTCAAAATTAGACATTCTCAATTCAATTACAAAAGGTCAGCAATTTGTCAGCCTTCCCGCCAAATACACGACGAAGCTACTACGTTGCTACAACGGTCGAACAAGGTTAAATTTAACACCTAACAGTTGTAACAACCAATACAGCAAGTTGTAACAACGTTCTAGTATGTCATAAAAACGTTATAACAAGATATAACAGCTTTTTTACAAGTTGTAACAAGGGGATCATAGGGACCGTTACGTTGTGTGTTTGCCGGGTTCAAGCACAGCCTGAAACCCTCACACATAGTTGTGAGGGAGGTTGGAGGCACTGTTGAGGTAAAGAAAAGAGGCAATGTTCTCTGTTAGAAGTGTAAAGATGCAAATTATTTACCTGATTTACCTGAGGGGCCACTAACCTTAGTTGCCTCGATGAGGACAGGAAGCCGGTGGCTTGTCGAAGATCCCCTTCCCCTCCCACTTCAACAAGCCGAAGAGGCTTTTCAAGTATAAATCACATTTGAATATGGTATTGAATTTCTTGCTTTAAATCATGTACTTATTTAAGCCAGAAACTAATCGGTATCTATAATGATGATAATTTATAATGATTCTTTTTTCAGATTTCGTATTGCTGCTGTATATGCTAATAATGACAACAAACTTGGGCCAAACTCTCGTCGTTTTCATTTGGAGAAAGATTTAACAATTCAACGTCCTGCGTATCCTCCTACTATTGTCGAGCAGATACCTCAAGGACCCACATCTGTTAAACTGGTTTGGCAGTATGAGCCTTCTCCAGGTGTACCTGTGGAAGGATTTTTTATCAATTATCGTGAAGCAACAATAGCTGGGGAATACACTAAGGTATGTATAACCTTCTGGGGATTATTCTGGGTTGATTAGAGAAATCTCCAGTGTCTCCTTTTCTTTATCAATGGCCCAGCAGGATATTTTGAAACTACTGTATTCCATTAAGAAAATCCTTCTGCTAGAATACAGTAGTCGTCTAGATTAAGGGGAAGTTGCACTTAACTATTAAATATGCTCATCTCCTTCGTGATAGTCCGTACTTGCGTCTTTGTATGCAGTGCTGTATTCCATGTTCATTTGTTTATTTCACCTGTTTATGGTCTTATAATAATGAAATATATTTTTGTTTAATATTTGTGCTTGATATTTGCTCCATGTGCTTGATAACGCAAAATGTTTTTCAATAAAAATTTAAAAACTGTGGCATTTACAACAGCTGGATTAGACAATTGTAATGAGAGTTTCTTAACATCCATTTCAGGTTACAGTATTAGGACCTACTAAAAGAAGTTTTGTAATATTACACTTGAAAGCCAATGTCTCCTATGATTTCAAGATACAGTGCTTCAACATTGCCGGAGCCTCGGAATTTTCACCTATATATAAGAAGACTGTAACTAGTACGTATGATTACCATTTTGGGAATGCATTTATTAAAATTTCTTAATAGATATATATTAATACAACAGATTTTGGCAAGAGCTAATTTTAGTACACCTGTAAGAATCAAGAGAAATACTTTCTTAACCACCGCACCGTGCACCTGGTTTTGGCAAAAACTTCATAGTGCAATTGTTAAGGACATATTTTTGTTGTTCTTATAAATTTTCAGATAAAGTTAATGTCAAAATGTTTCCAAACTCAAGCATTTTCATTTCAAACATTAAAAAACATTAAAAACCATAAAAATATAGCCTAATTAACAACAAAATAGCACAACTCTCAGAGGACCTCAAGGCACTGTGCGCGACACAGTAGTTACAGCTATTACAATTTGGTTGTACGACTCTCTCTCTCTCTCTTTGATTTTTATCCTAGATATGTGATCATTGTTAGAGGGGAAATAAATTGAGTATAAATTATATATGTACGTGGGAAAATATTGCAGCTTGTAAAGGCACATTAGTGACTGGGGGGGACAAAAAAAAAGGGTGGTAGGATGTCACAAGTTCTTGTCACACTACACTACACTACACACAAATATCACAATAACGTGGTGCATCAAATGAGGTCGATTAAGGTGCGTCTGGGATCCTTTCGGACATAGGTTTGAATCCTCGTTACGGACCTTGTGGATTTGTTCAAGTTTTTGTCATATTTGAAAAATTTAAAATGTAAGTTGGCCTACAGGACATTATTTAGGAGGATGCATATCATCTTTATAAATTATCATCATTTCAACAAGTATTACTTTACTGTCTATACAGCAAACGTTATGTTTTTATAATACTGCAATCATTTGATAATATTATATTTGATTGTTTTTTCCTAGAAAATTTTCTTTAACCCTCAAGCCGCTAGGGGCCCAAATGGAATTCACACCCACAGGCGCAACAAAAAAAAAAATTCCAAAAAATTCTTTCGTCTTATAGAAGTGTTCATTTTTGTTCCCTGATCACGGAAAAAAATAACAAAAAAATCGTAGGTCGCATATTTTAGCCGCAATAGGGTAGGGAAGTGTGGCAAAAAAGGGGCGTTGGCAGAGCCTTCGCCAGATGAGGTCTACTCCGCCCGAGCTGTCAGACGGCAGTTGCCACAAATATATTATTACCTAATTATTTCAATGTCTCTGATTGATTTTTTCTTAGTTTTTTTGCAGTAATATTATTCCATACAGTGAATTGTGGTATATTTATATTATAAAATGTGTGAACCATCGCTGTACTCAAAATTATGGTGTGCATATTAGTGATTCAATTATTATGTTCATAAAACAATAAACAAATAGTTTTGCTGTTGTTACACTATATACACAGGTTATATATAAGTATTTGCATGTTTTGTACACCGTAACGAACTACTAAGTTGGTCTTGTGAGTCAAAAAGCTACGAGGAGTGACCGCCAAACACCAGCGAGCCACTCACTGCCACTCCCTCCCTCAACACCACCTCACTTACCCTCATTCACCTCCTACAATACTCTTTCTGTATTTATTCACTATACACAGACGTTATATATACGTATTTACATGTTTTGTTCACCATAACTGTACATCTAAGCTTGTATGGTGAGTAAAGGCCACAAAGACGTAGCTACTCACACAGTCAGCTGATCGGCGGCCGCCCTCAAGGCCAGACGCACTAATATTTGTCCTTCAACAATACTGTTTGTGGTGTTATTACGCTATATACACATATTATATATAAGTATCTACCTGTTTTATTCACCATACCTGAACAAGTAAGCTGGTATGGTGCCCAAAGACTATTGTGGTCACCAGTAAACAACATGATAAGTCGTGCAGACGACGCCACCGCCCTCACCAAAATGGCGGCTCCCAACCTACTCCTCTTGCTGTTTATACCCTATATACACACGTTATATATAAGTATCTACATTTGTGTTCACCATATCGAACCACTAAGCTGGTATGGTGAGTGCAGTCAATAAATGGTGGCCACACACAGTCAGAAGACGACGCCACAACCTTCCCTCGCACAGCCTTACGCCTCCCTCCATGGAGCACAGCGCTAAATATCACCACAATCCTGCTATTATCAGAATCCTGGTCAGTTTTATCACAGTCAGGGGGCTTCAGTAATACTCTCACTGCTAAATAATAGCAGTATCATATATATTATGGTATTTGTAGGCGATGCTGTGGTCACAAGCTGAACAGCGGTGCTGTGAGCTCGTGCTGCGTGCGCCAGCCTTGGTGGCTTGCTCAATACTGACGCTCTCACACCCAAGAATGTTGGCCTGGATTTTTTTTCTAGGTGGCATCTGGCAACTATCGGTCGTGGCTGTACTATAGCTGCCCCTATCCCAGGCGAGGAGTTTAAATTATAGCGCTAGACAGGAAATCATATATAAATGATGTGCACGGTTTCGGTTTTGTCACCGATATCATTTATATATGATAAGCGCGGTTTGAGGGTTAAGTAGCTGGCTACTCATAGGAAAAAAAAAAATTAATGGTTTATTTGGCAGCTGAGGCTTATATCAAGCATCACATGTTTTCCATAAACATTCTTGTGGTTATTTAAGAAGCTGTCATTATCATCATTCACATCCCTGTAAACACACACAATGTAACGGTCCCTATTGTTACCGTGTTACAACTTCTTACAAAGTTGTTACATCTTGTTAGAAAGTTTTTATGTGTAAGAAGGTGTTACAACTTGTTAGAAGGTGTTACAACTTGTAAGAAGGTGTTACAACTTGTAAGAAGGGGTTAAAACTTGTATGAAGGTGTTACAACTTGTTAGGAGGTGTTACAACTTGTTAGGAGGTGTTACAACTTGTTAGGAGGTGTTACAAATTGTTAGAAGGTGTTACAACTTGTTAGAAGGTGTTACAACTTGTAAGAAGGTGTTACAACTTGTAAGACGGTGTTACAACTTGTAAGAAGGTGTTACAACTTGTTAGAAGGTGTTACAACTTGTAAGAAGGTGTTACAACTTGTTAGAATGTGTTACAACTTGTTAGAAGGTGTTACAACTTGTAAGAAGGTGTTACAACTTGTAAGAAAGTGTTACAACTTTTTAGGAAGTGTTACAACTTTTTAGGAAGTGTTAAAACTTGTTATAAATTGTTACAACGTGTTCAAACCTTGCAGCAAATGTCATAATCTCGTCGTGTGTTTGGCGGGATAATACTGTAATTGTTTTGTCCGCAGGCACTTCTCCCACCACAACAGAAACTCCAGTGGAGGTTAGCCACGTGGGGCCTATTGCAAAGAATGGTGACCTAAGTCTCTCCAATATTCATCTCTATATTATTCTTGGAGCCGTTCTTGGAATTTTACTTTTAATTGTAATTGTTTCTGCAACAATATACACCTGCAGAAATAAACACACTGAAGGTTAGTCATTTCTAATTATATATTTTCATGAGAAGTTTAATGTCAAGACATTTTTTTTTAGCACCTTGTTGATCAAGGTTATAATAATAATAATAATAATTTTTATTTAAAAGATTGTGTGTACAAAGAACATAAGAGTAATGTACAATTGTACGGACAGAAGTTACACCTACTAATGAAGCCACTATTATGCTAAGTATTTTGGGCAATATTTCAGAAAATAATATTTTATTCTGCCTGAATGCAGGCGATGAGTCACAATAACGTGGCTGAAGTATGTTGACCAGACCACACACTAGAAATTGAAGGGACGACGACGTTTCGGTCCGTCCTGGACCATTCTCAAGTCGATTGTGTTCGATTCTGCCTGAATATTTTCAGGCAGAAAATAGCTAGATAGATTGAAAAGTAGGTGGAAATAACTAGATATATGAATAGGTAACTAGCAGATGGATAACTACAGATGTGTAAGTAATTAGAGATGGATAACTAAATAGATACTGTATATGGATAAGTAGCTAGACATAAGTAACTACAGATGGATAAATAACTAGACAGATGCAAATAAAAATAACAAAACTTTATTCATAACTGATGCAAATCATTACAACAATGACTAGACTAAATAGGTACATAACACTCTAAATCAGACTTACACTTTTGGCATTAAGTAACATTTTGCTTACAATTTGAAAAGTGATAATTATTGGAATAACAAAGTTCAGTTTACTGTTAGAGTGGCGAGACAGATATGGGAACAACATTTAATACTAGAATAATGAAAAGACTGTTTGAATGAGAACAAACATAAGCATATCATACCACGATGATTAGAAATGTGCACATCCTCAGCATTATACATCAATAGAATCCGGGGCTATCCCAGCTCAAGCTTTTTCAACACATTGCAGGTTGTAACACAGATCTGACTTCATTTGGACTAAAAAATACCTGCCAGTAATCCATCTCTCTATGAGAGTAGTCCCTTTTATAACCGACTGAACTACCGCGATGGAATTCCAGTAGTACAGTCAGGTTTGTTCTCGACTCACAATCGAGAATTCCAGGTTTGTTCTCGACTCACAATTGAGAATTCCGAGTTCATTCACGACTCACAATTGAGAATTCCAGGTTCATTGTCGACTCACAATTGAGAATTCCGGGGTTTGTTCTTGACTCACAATCGAGAATTCCGGGTTCATTTTCGACTCACAATCGAGAATTCCGGGTTCATTTTCAACTCACAGTCGAGAATTCCGGGGTCGTTCTTGACTCGCAATCGAGAATTCCGGGCTCGAATCTCAGACGGGACGGAAATGGTTGGGCAAATTTTCTATCACCTAATGCAGTCCCGTTCACCTAGCAGTAATTAGGTGCTCAGAAGTTAGTCAGCTTGTTGTGAGGTTACATCCTGGGTGGGGTTAGTAATTTGATCTTGGAGTGGGGGGGGGGATCTTGATATAAGCCTAACATGTATGAATACACTCTGGCTTCCTGTCCCTCAACACAATAAATTATTATTATTATTATTATTATTATTATTATTATATTATTATTATTATTAGTATTATTATTATTATTATTATTATTGTAGATATTCATCTGGTGGTCTCCCTGCTTTCTCTACTCATTAGTTGTTTTATTCTGGATAGGTAAAAGATAGAAAGACAGACAGGAGGGCGGGTAACTAGATAGATGGACAGGTAACTAGACAGGAGGGCAGGTAACTAGATAGATGGACAGGTAACTAGACAGGAGGGCAGGTAACTAGACAGGAGGGCAGGTAACTAGACAGGCGGGCAGGTAACTAGACAGGAGGGCAGGTAACTAGACAGGAGGGCAGGTAACTAGACAGGAGGGCAGGTAACTAGACAGGAGGGCAGGTAACTAGACAGGAGGGCAGGTAACTAGACAGGAGGGCAGGTAACTAGACAGGAGGGCAGGTAACTAGACAGGAGGGCAGGTAACTAGATAGGTGGACAGGTAACTAGACAGGAGGGCAGGTACCTAGATAGATGGACAGGTAACTGAACAGATGGGCAGGCATCTAGATAGGTCAATAGGTAACTAAACAGATGGAGATATAACTAGAAAGATGAACAAGTAACTAGAAAGATGGATAAGTAACTAAACAGATGGATAAGTAGCTAGATATATGAATAGGTCCTTCATGGGCTCACCATAGCCCGTGCTACTTGGAACTTTTTGTTCCAAGTAGCGAATCTTTAACAACAACAACAACGAATAGGTCAATCGACAGATGGAGAAAGAGAAAAAACATCATAAAACATGCACCACTGTTTTTAGGAGAAAACATTGTAGATGTATTTCTAGATAGTAATTAGAAAGACCAAAAGCTTCATTTCTGTTTGATATCAAACGTCATCTTTTTTCACGCCTACTAAAGGACAGGAAAATATGTAAGGTAATTATCAACATTAATCGAATGTATTTTCCTACTTTTGTTGTGTGTATTATGCATTATTATCTTTATCCAATTGCAGCCTTGCATTGGTATCTTCAGGCTTCCTGTCACTTCTCCTCGAGAGGCCCTCCTCCTGTCACTTCTCCTCGAGAGGCCCTCCTTCTGTCACTTCTCCTCAGAGGTCCTCTTCCTGTCACTTCTCAGATGCTCTCTTGTCATTTTTCCTCAGAACCCCTGTTTCTGTCACAGGAAGAGAATCTTCCTGTTTGAGAATAGCACAGAAATCAGGCTTTGAATGCGTGTACATATATGAAAAGCACCTTTTTGAGTAGGACAGTGTTGCTCTTGTGTTCCCTTCCTGCTGTAGAGGCTTTCCCCTAGTGGCAATCAGAGGTAGTGGTTAGATGGACCAACTGTTGATTAATGACCGCTGCTTAGCAGGCCGTGTAGGACATGTAAAGTGTTTGAGTATGTTAAATTGATCCTCTAGAGGTTGTGCCAAGCTGGATTGAGTATTCTCCAGTGTATCTCTTGCACTGGTGTGACCCAAGAGACATATTTATAATATTGAGTCAAATATTTATTATATTTGACCAAATAGACCCAATAGACATGCCCGTGGGGCATCCAGGTGGGAAACCAACCTAGTGCATTGCAGCAACCTAAACCTAGCATGCAATGCAGATGCTGCATGTACCTTAACAGTAATGTCATCAGAATAGTACTGGAGAACAAACAGAGAACACGACTCGCAAGACTCCAGGTCAAAGGTGTCGTTGACCCAACAGGCAGCATGACGGAGGCAAAAGAGGTGACTGTCACCCTGAGACTAGGACACACAGTAATCTTTGAACCCACACGAGGTGGGCTGGAACTCAGAAGACACATCTATTGGTCCACTGAGCCCTGACAGGGTTTTCCAGGGCCCGTAGGCTGACTGCTACAGGAAGCCCGGGCAAGGTGTTGCTAACCGGTTGAGATCCAAAGCTAACAAGGGGTAAATCAAAACACTGAAACCCCTGTGACATATACAATCACGGGAGCCTAGCAGATGGCCACCAAAATATTATAAGTGGAATGATAGCCACACTAGGCAGACCCCCACCAGGCAAGAAAAACAAAAACAAAACCCCCGCAAAAGTACAACGTCCCCAGAGGAAACAGGAATCGGCCGCCGCATAGGTAGGCAGGCTGCACAACACTGTGACGCCCCAACCAGCATGATACCACTCGCTACCCAAGGCCAAACAAAGGCCACGAAACCCCAGCTGGCCCCAATGGCGGGGTAAATGCTGAGCTGCAAAAACCCGTACGAAAATAGTTTTCCCAAACGCACCAGGGAACACGCAAGGGCAGTACTCACAGGACTCCTAGTGAAGCAAGCCGCTAAGCACATGCAGCCCTGGCACTAATAAGGAACACTTGGCCACCATACACAATAACACTGCAGAGATCGCCACGAAGGCAAAACACCGCCTTGGAAATCGAGGCCAGAGAAACGTCCGCCCCGGACCACATTAGCTAATGAACTGGAGTGCTGGGTAGCCAGCACGGGGAGGTCCGGGGCTTCCCCCTTCCCCCTCTCGGGGAGGTCCAGGCTTCCCCCCTTCCCCCTCTCGGGGTGGGAAGGGGAGGGCTGTGCAGATGAGTGGCATGGCAGTGAAGTGTAATGTTTACTTGTTTCTTTGGGATTGGAGGGAGTTCTACCTCTTTTTCGGTTTTTAGTTGTAATTTTCTTCCCATGTGGGGTTTGTTTTCTTATGCCTAGCTTTCTGGGGGCCTAATCTCGGTCAATGACAGATAAGGAACACCCCCAGCCACAGGAATGGGGGGGTTTCCAGGGCCATTGTTCCCTGCAACCTCTCTGAGAGGGCCAGGTTCTGGCTCGTGGTCCCTGGTAGGTCGAATTCCTTAGACTAATATCCTGGTCTAATATATCACACATTAGCCCAATAGCTCCAGGGAGCCTCCAGGGCTCACCCAGAAAATGGCATTTCATTACATTCAACGCTGGTTTTTTGTCAAAACTTACTGCTTCATTTATGATACTGTACAAGGAAATAGAGAAAATTACAAAAGAATGTAACAATTATGTGAATATACTAAAAAATATTTCAACAGATGACACAAGATCAACAAAATATGAAGACACGTCACTCCACATCCATCGGGAAACTGCCACCTATGTATTACCACATCAACAGAATAATGGACAAACCCCAAATGGCTATCTACCACATCAGGGTATTGCTGTCTCTCCTGGGGAGGATGAAAAGGTGTGTAAAATGTATGAATAATTTTGTATATAAACATGCAAGAAAAAACAGTATATCACTATGACTATATCAGTCATATGAGTCCTGTTTAGCCTATCAGGGACCAGAGTCAGAATGGCCCTCCCTCCCTCCTCCCTTAGAAGCAATATATACTATCAGTGAAAATTTCAGTAAAATCTCAGTGAAGCAATATAGACATTTACAAGGCTTACTGAAAACATAGCACCAAAACAGGCAAACGACTCCACAAATGATTCATTCAAAAGAGATTTTACACTGGAAAAACTAGTGCAAATGCCCATCAAGAGATGGTGTCTCAGAGCTTTCAACTAGCATCTGACCCCAGGTCAGTCCTGTTGCTGATGTACTGTACTACCTAGTAGTTCTTCCTGAGTTGCCTCATCATAGCAAGTCTCACTTCTTTCTTAGATAAGTGCCAGCCATTGTTTGGACTTTGTCTGTGGGGCCATTTGCTTGATTAATGTTCCTGTGTTTTCAGTATTTGCTTCACAAGTGTGTGTTTATCCGCCACACTTATTGGGTGGACTTGGTTTATTCCTTGCTATGAGCTGCATGTCTTTAGGGTGACCCTTCCCTTGGTGCTTGTCTAGCATTATCCCTCCTGCACTAACAGAATGACTTCTCCAATGTGTTCTGGAGGTCGTTCCTGAGAGGCCAGGCCACTGGGGTGGAGAGCCACACCCTGATGACAGCTAGTATATGATTCACTTTGTGACTGGTGCTCACAAGTCTCCCACGATCAACGAATGGATCTATTCTGTTGAGTGCACTGCATAGTATGCATGTTTGGGGTGGTGTGGCAGGCCCTTCAGAGGATTCATCGTTCTCGTTCTCTGGGCTCCATTCTCGTTTCTTTCTGACTGCTTCCCAGTGGTTCATTCTCCAAACTGCTGAGGGTCACTTTGGTCCTTCCCCCTTTGGAGCTGGACTCTTCATGTAACTTAGTTTCTGGCTTCTGAGGGTTTGGGTCTCTGTGCAGTTCATGTGTTGGAGTGTGTCTGACATTCTCACAGATGGTTTCTCTTGCTTCTGTCCCATTTTCACAGAATGAATCATTGACTGCCCATCCTCTTTTTGGCTTTGCAAGATGTTCATTTGCTTCAAGGCAAGCTTGTCTATGGTGATGTGGAACTAGCAGCTTCTTACGTACATGGCTTCATTCCCTGATTGCATTCTGCTCACAGTACTGTAGATGACCTGGACTGGTCAAGATGGGGGTTCATCTATCTATTCTCCTTGGTTTGGCTGTTGCTCTGTGTGTTGTCCTGGTTGGATATGTACCCAGACAAGGTAATTCTTCTGGCTCCTTGGTGGCCATCTCAGACTCAGTTTCTGACTTTTCTGGCCCAGTGTCCGGACCCGGACATTTTCCCATGGATCCGCCTCGCAGCAAATCAGCTTGGTGAAGCTCTGTGCTGATTCATCTTTCTTCACCAATCTACGCTCTTTGAGTTTCTGATGCGAGTTTACCATCATTTCTATGGTGTGCAGGTGGCTGAATTATTGATGCCCCACCTGGAGCTTTCGTCACAGCATCAGTAAAGGTTTCATGGTGCTCCTTTCACCTCTTTGACTCTTTGTCATGTTTCTGTTGTCTATTATTATCACTCCTTATTGCTCAGATTTGTCAGAGCCACACTTGTTGGCATTTTGCATATTGTCTTGTGCTTTCTTTCACCTCCAGCCAGCTTATGCACCTCTTGGGGCATCTTGATCTTTTAATAGGGCGTTGATGTTTCTATTCTCCCATCAGTTCTTAGTTGTCCCTTCAGTTCAGGATACAGTATATCATTCTTAAGGCACTGTTTTGTTGGCCGACAACCCCTCTGGTTATTGGGATTGGGAGCCTCATGTTCTTCTCCAGAGGCATAGTTTCTGTTCTTTTGGCCCTGGTGGTTGGTTTCTTCATTTTTGCCTTCTTATTTTTTGACAAAGAATGAGTCAGTTGGCTTCTAGAGTGGGAACCCTTGGTGATTAATGCTTGGTTTGCCTAGTTGGAGCACATCATTTGTTGTACTCAGTTGCAGCAATTAATCACATCTTCATGCCTCCCACTCTGCTGTGGTGGATGCCTTGTCTGTTGATTCAGTTTCCATGATTCCTTGTTCAAAGGCCTATTTGTCCCAGGTTGTTCGCAATGTCATTACAGCTTGCCAGCATGCAGTGTAACCTCGAGCCCATAATTTTTTGTAAGTTTTCGGCTTTGGCCACTCTGTTCATTAACATGTCATAGACTGCTTTTTTGGCTCGGAGGTTTGAAAGGCCTAAATGGGTCCTGGTGATTCTTGTAGTTGCCACTCTCCTTGTTGGTAAGCCTATGTTTCTATCTTCTGTGTTGTAAAATAGCTTCAGGGAGTCATCTAAAGGCTCCTCCAGAAAATCATCCTTGAATGTAATGAAATGCCTCTTTCTGGTAGCGTCCCAGTGGTTTCCTGGTTCCCTCATTGTTGGCCCAAAAATCAGGAGCTCCCAGGGTATCACCTATTAGAGGGTTTGCAACATAAAAAGGTTCGAGCTCAGTTTTGAGTGAATCACTTGGATTTGAGTGAATCATTTACAGTCAGTTAGCAGTTTTGGTGATTTCATTTTCTGTGAACATTGCAGTTCACAGAAATTGCAGTATTGCTTTGTTGACTTTTTGGATGCTTTCTTGGTGAATCATCATAACAATCCCCAACTCTCTATGCCGCTGTGAGCGGGGGTCAGAATCTGGCTATGGCTCTTTTTAGACCAACAGGATTCCTATGGCTAATGGGACTCAGTAGAGGGAGGCTATCTCAGCAAGATAACTTCAGGGAACCACCGGGGATATTCCAGAAAGAGGCGGCATTTCATTACATTCAATGCTGGGTGTGGCAGCATTGAATGTAATGAAATGCTATACTACATTTTGTATGCAGTAATGTGCTGGGGGTTTTCCAGTAAATGCTGGAAGGTTTTCCAGTAAATGCTGGGGGGTTTTCTGCAAGCTTTTGCAAATTCTTGCAGAACCCCAGACTCATACTCATGGAACCCTGTCTGGGAATCACTGCTTTGGCGAGTGTCAGTTAAATTAAGCTTGAATAATCTAATGCCTTAGATTAGCTTTGTCATCTTTCTCTGTACCCATTAGAGGGAATTTACGTTCATTCTAGGAAATATGTGTGAGCAAAGTTCTCTGTATTTGTAGTTACAAACAGGTAATAATAATAATAATGATACACACATGCACACAAGTTATGTACAATATAAAGTATTACAATGCATTTTTAAAAGCCTTATGTTATTTATTCACATAAATTGTATTAAATTGTTCTTTAGGATGCAGAAATTGGAGAGCAATGTGACAACTGTTTTGCATTTACAGGTAGCAATTGAGAGTTCCTTCATAGAAAATAACAACCACAATACTCAGCCAGTGGACGGATGTTATACACCAACCGCAAGACGAATACCTAATGAGGATGGCAGTGCTAAATCAGAAGTGAAAAGTCAAGCCTTACCTAGAAATTCTAGTGATAATTTTGAAGGTAGCGGGCTATCCTGTGGTGATATAGACCCTAAAACCAGAGACTTTGCTTACCATTCATGACATTTTGCATAACCCGGTGGTAACATTAGCATGTAAAATACTTGTGGTGTTAAGTGCTGTTTTGATTAGTGGTGCATCAAAATCAAATATTCCAGTTAAAAAATGAGGATGCAAAAAAAAACAATTTCTCAGAAGTGTGAAACTGGTAAGTTTGAACATTTTTAAAAAAGTTCCAGAAATTAGTGAATTCTAAAGGCTTAAACATACATCCAAGTAAGAAATTGAAGTTTAAAATAATTAGTTCCTGGTTTCCCATTGTTGGGGACAACAGTGGCCTAACTTGTAGGTGCCTACTGTATTTACTACTAGGTGAACAGAGGCATCAGGTGCAAGCAACTATGCTCAAACATCTCTGACCTGCACTGGAATTGAACCTGGGATCTTTCAGATGTGAACTAACTGAGCTGACCACTGTTGAAAATGGCCCAGGTTGAAGAAAAAATGTGTACACAGTACATTCATCTTTTACAGTAATGGAAATACATTGTGATATTATATTTAAGTACAATATTTTGTAGATATGAATTATATAAGTAGTTGAATGATTTGTGTATTGAATACACAATGTAGTAAACATCAATTGTGATGTGTTACTTTATGAATGTGTATGTGTAACATACGTCTTGTAGCATACCATGCCCGGTAAACTATGAATTTTTGGTTAACTCTAACAGAGAGTGAGAGAGAGAGAGAGAGAGTGTGAGAGTGAGTGAGTGAGCGAGTCCTCCAACTTGCAAACAGGATCATTGACACAATGCTAGAAATGGGGGTGTACATTCCTAGAATACCAAAAATCAACATAATTTACAGCAAAATTTGCTTTTATAAGATAACATTAGCAGCATATTATTTACTCTAATTACTAGCAGAAACAACATTTGTGGAGCAGTTAACACAAACACCTGTGTGATCTGTGTTTTGCTTCATCCTCTTCAGGTATCTTGATTTTCTACATCTGCATTTGATAGGATATTGGGGCTTTAGTCCTAGTGCAATATAAACACTTTTTCTCCTCACAAGCCATTTTTAAGGGTGTTTACCTCAATAAACAACTTACGTAAATAGTCCACAAAATACATTGTGGATTTTCACAGTACGAGAGGACTGCTGACTGGGCAGTGTGAGTCGGCCATACGGCACCTGTATGTTGTGCAAAGGCAACACTGTATTATGCGAGACAATGGAGTGGGTGCATGTAGCTGATTGAGATGCTAAAATGGGGACTCGTATCCATTCGTATGATTTTAGATATTTGTAAGTTGGGGACCCCCTGTATAGTATATCATAATTAATTACCTGCTAAGCTTGGATATATCTTGTCAGTTAATTTTGTTAATTTAGAGTTTATGTTTACTGTAAACTGCAATTCTTTTCTGCATACAAAATGTAGTAAAATAAAATAGGCAATGTGATCTTATGTTAATTGTCTGGGTTAATAATGTGCTGTCATCATGTATATATTCTGCGAAGATTGCTTAATTCTTCAAGCAGGTTAAATGTCATATAATCTGAAGAATCATAGAAACCTACACATAGAACTCTTCAAGAGATTTGCTATAATATTGTGTAAATAGATACAAATGTATATAAAATTGAAATATTGTATTGTGAATACTGTATAATTTTTGACCATTTCATACTTATTTCTCTCTATATATTTGTACTCTTGTTAATAAAAATATTTATAAAATTTATAAAATATATCCTGCCTACTTTAAACAAAATTTAAACAAAATTCCAAATATTAATATATTGTAGACACAGGAGAAACATCTCAGATTATGTATCATTTGTGATACAATCCGAACGGCTTTAAATTGTTATCATAAATGCCATGTTTCATATTTTCACAAGGTGGAGAGGCATCTACCTGAGGAAGATAGTGAAAAACATAGGAACATAAGGTTAAACATATTAAAACTAACACCCATAGGTTCATGGTCTTCAACACCATATTGCATCACAGAGAACCAGTACTTTCTCAGTTGTTTAAATAATCCACAGTAGTACTTCAGCACTCACTTTATAGTACTAGGTGAAAAGTGTTCCTCCTAAATTTCACGCAAAACTCAGTTAATCAGTACCTATGATCCTTGCTGATATCTAGTCTGTTTTTTAGTATCATTCTTTATGTACTGTTCAGACTTGGCCCTGCTTGCTTCCACACGCATCATTCCTTTCTCATCTTCTTGGCCTTCCTCTCATTATCTTCAAATACATTTTCACTGTTGGGGTTCAGCCACTTGAACTGGTTGGTACCGTGAAGGCCTTGCTCCTTGCAGGTTGGCGTTCAATCCCTATTGGTCCAAGTGGCTGGGCACCGATTCTTATCTCCATCCTATCCCAGATCCTTGTACTTACAAGTGCTATACAGTACAGCACTTGTAAGTACAACCTGCTTAGTGATTCCTCGTTATTTTTTGTTTACAACATCATTCACTTGTTCATAAAAAAAACCTGTGGGTACAGTATCCAAGTGTAACATTAATTCAACAGTGAATCAACATTATCAATATTGATTCATCATTGAAATAATGTTGATAATGTTGACTGAACTTATGTTACCCTTGGATATTGTGTGCCCAACCACATGGGCTGGGTGGTAGAGCGATGGTCTCACTTTGTGCAGGTTGGTGTTCAATTCCTGACCATCCAAGTGGTTGGGCACCATTCCTTTCCCCCGTCCCATCCCAAATCCTTATCCTGACCCGTTCCAAGTGCTTTATAGTCATAATAGCTTGGCACTTTCTCCTGATAGTTCCCTCCCCCTCATAGACTTTAGAGTTCCCTCTCCCCTCATTATGTATATGAGAGGGATTGGGTGGTAATAAATAGGAGCTGCCTCGTAGGGCCAATAAGCCTTCTGCAGTTGCCTTTATTCTTATGTTCTTATGTTCATATTAGGCCAACTGGGAAATCATCTTGATACACACTTTTCAATCTTACAATGTACTTATTCTATTATCACGCATTTCTTTAACATTTTAAATCTTAACTTTATATTTTATCCACATTTGTAGAGTAGTGTGTATAATAACCCTGTATATGATATTCAAATATATTACTGAAAGGTGGGGGTGTTAACGCTAAATAACAGTATATTAGAGATAATTCTTGAGATGAGGTTGTTGGGAGCGGGACACAGCACACTGCACTGCATGAGAGGCGGGACCAAAGAGCCAGAGCTCAACCCCCGCAAGCACAATTAGGTGAGTACAGGCTAGAGGTGGCGTGAGTACCTGATTTTACCTGATTTACTTGAGGGCCACTAACCATAGTGGCCTCGATGAGGACAGGAAGCCGGCGGTTTGTTGAAGGTCCCCAAATTTGTCTTCATGATCTTTTCCAGGTAGATTTCTCAACTTATCGCCAGAGTAGCAGGTAAGTGGTGTCTGGGGTAGCAAGAGTAGCAGGTAAGTGGTGTCTGGGGTGACAAGAGTAGCAGGTAAGTGGTGTCTGGGGTGACAAGAGTAGCAGGTAAGTGGTGTCTGGGGTGACAAGAGTAGCAGGTAAGTGGTGTCTGGGGTGACAAGAGTAGCAGGTAAGTGGTGTCTGGGGTGACAAGAGTAGCAGGTAAGTGGTGTCTGGGGTAGCAAGAGTAGCAGATAAGTGGTGTCTGGGGTGACAAGAGTAGCAGGTAAGTGGTGTCTGGGGTGACAAGAGTAGCAGGTAAGTGGTGTCTGGGGTAGCAAGAGTAGCAGATAAGTGGTGTCTGGGGTGACAAGTGTAGCAGGTAAGTGGTGTCTGGGGTGACAACAGTAGCAGGTAAGTGGTGTCTGGGGTAGCAAGAGTAGCAGGTAAGTGGTGTCTGGGGTAACAACAGTAGCAGGTAAGTGGTGTCTGGGGTGACAAGAGTAGCAGGTAAGTGGTGTCTGGGGCAGCAAGAGTAGCAGATAAGTGGTGTCTGGGGTGACAAGAGTAGCAGGTAAGTGGTGTCTGGGGTGACAACAGTAGCAGGTAAGTGGTGTCTGGGGTGACAACAGTAGCAGGTAAGTGGTGTCTGGGGTGACAAGAGTAGCAGGTAAAGGATGTCTGGGATTCAGCACACACTAATAGTACCTGTCCACCAGCTAGTAGTACTTGCCCATTACTAATAGTACCTGCCCCAGCTAATGGTACCTGTCTGGCACTAGCAGTATCTGCCCCTGCTAATGGTACCTGTCTGCCACTAGCAGTATCTGCCCCTACTAATGGTACCTGTCTGCCACTAGCAGTATCTGCCCCTGCTAATGGTACCTGTCTGCCACTAGCAGTATCTGCCCGCACTAGAAGCAGTACCCCTCAACTAGCAGTACCTAGTATGAATGAGCAGCTCATCAGCTTGAATAAAAATAATTATGGAATATTAATGTTTAGAGATAATAAATACACAATGACTATGCTAAATTTAGCGTTTGGGCTTAGATAATATATTTAAAAAAATAGATATGTAAACTATATCCTTTTCCGATGTATCCAAATTCAATAGTAGCAAATGCAATAGTACTTTCCATTGGCCCTTACGTCAATATATGTATGGTGAGCCACATAGTTAGAAAATGTACTTTTTAAATAGGAGGATGGGGTTGAATTATTATATAGTTGAGGACAAAATCCCTTATCAGAGACGACTTAGACGACTTCATACAAAACTACCGAAGAATGAAAATAGAATTGCAAAATGCCTCCTCGAATTGATAGTAAGACATTCAAGACCTAAGACCTAAGACATTCAAGCATCATGGGATAATTTTACTTAGAGAAAAAAGGATAAAACTTAATATATACCAAAATACGTGCCAAGGAGAAAGAAACAAAAGAATCCAATGGTTGACAGTCAGTAAAGAAAGAGTTAAGAATTGAGTTAAGAGAGTTAATTGATGGTCTCAGGAATGCTATTCTTGAGCCTATCAGAGTGAATCGTAAACCTTGTGATTCGTACATTCATTAATCAAAACGATTCGTTAGTTCATCAATTAGTGATTCATCAGCCCTCTATTCAGACCGACTCGTGAACTGGTCAATTCCAATTCTGTGTGAGTGCATCAGAGAACAAACCTCGGTACCACAATTAAGACATTCACAATCACTCACAATCACCCCATAATTGTATACGAGGTAGTATTTAGCATTTTTATCGCCACCCAACAGTTCATTGCCTAGAAGTATGTATCTGCATTATAAGCACATTACGGGTTCACTATAGCCTGTGCTACATGGAGATTATGTTCTAACTAAATCTAAAACAACAACAACATATATAAGCACATGCGATTTGTTAATTTGTCTCCCTCTAACAGTAGGCCTAATTAGGGATCAGAATATAAAACAATTGGCGAAATGTATTTTTTAGGGGAAAAAATATTTGGCGCCGAATAGCCTATTACGGATTCCCGCGAACTAAATTCTAATATTATAAAAAAAAATAATTAATTCGTATAATTTCAATGTAACAACTGATATTGTGTTTAACGGGACATTATAACTCAAGGATAAAAAATGTTTTTGCAATTAAAATAGTTACTATAATGGGTTTTGATTTGTTTTTGTAAGTATTAACGCGATCCTTGAGGCAAGCGACGGCAGTTGGTCCCAAGCATCAGGAGGAGGAGGACGCGTGGGTCTCTCGCTGTTTTATATTGATAAAAAAGTACACTTCGGTGGCTGCCATGGTCTTACGGAAGGCGTTTTTAGAGATAGTTATGCTGCTGAGAAGCGCTAAGTATCTCACGTTGCCGGTATTACTGAGGTATGTCCATGGTCTTCAAATTTCTTAGCTGTCCTCAGGCTAGGCTCGTTCAAGCGTCAGCCGGCCATCAAAAGCTTCATCAATTTATTGTGAATTCAAAATGTGGCTCTTATCAGTATAAATTAATATCATATATAATCATTTATATATAGGTAAGCCGAGGTTAGGTTTTTTAATTTTGTTTGTATTTGGATTTAAAGACGAAATTCGAACATTTGGAAGAGAGTAAAGCATTGTTCGAGAACAGTTCTGTTCTTCATTGTGGTTCTTGAAGAACCATTGAACCAAACTTGAAGAACCATTGTGGATCTTGAAGAACCATTGTAGATCTTGAAGAACCATTGTGGATCTTGAAGAACCATTGTGGATCTTGAAGAACCATTGTGGATCTTGAAGAACCATTGTGGATCTTGAAGAACCATTGTGGATCTTGAAGAACCATTGTGGATCTTGAAGAACCATTGTGGATCTTGAAGAACCATTGGGGATCTTGAAGAACCATTGTGGATCTTGAAGAACCATTGTGGATCTTGAAGAACCATTGTGGATCTTGAAGAACCATTGTGGATCTTGAAGAACCATTGTGGATCTTGAAGAACCATTGTGGATCTTGAAGAACCATTGTGGATCTTGAAGAACCATTGGGGATCTTGAAGAACCATTGTGGATCTTGAAGAACCATTGTGGATCTTGAAGAACCATTGGGGATCTTGAAGAACCATTGTGGATCTTGAAGAACCATTGTGGATCTTGAAGAACCATTGTGGATCTTGAAGAACCATTGTGGATCTTGAAGAACCATTGTGGATCTTGAAGAACCATTGTGGATCTTGAAGAACCATTGTGGATCTTGAAGAACCATTGTGGATCTTGAAGAACCATTGTGGATCTTGAAGAACCATTGGGGATCTTGAAGAACCATTGTGGATCTTGAAGAACCATTGTGGATCTTGAAGAACCATTGTGGATCTTGAAGAACCATTGTGGATCTTGAAGAACCATTGTGGATCTTGAAGAACCATTGTGGATCTTGAAGAACCATTGTGGATCTTGAAGAACCATTGTGGATCTTGAAGAACCATTGTGGATCTTGAAGAACCATTGGGGATCTTGAAGAACCATTGTGGATCTTGAAGAACCATTGTGGATCTTGAAGAACCATTGGGGATCTTGAAGAACCATTGTGGATCTTGAAGAACCATTGTGGATCTTGAAGAACCATTGTGGATCTTGAAGAACCATTGTGGATCTTGAAGAACCATTGTGGATCTTGAAGAACCATTGTGGATCTTGAAGAACCATTGTGGATCTTGAAGAACCATTGGGGATCTTGAAGAACCATTGTGGATCTTGAAGAACCATTGTGGATCTTGAAGAACCATTGTGGATCTTGAAGAACCATTGTGGATCTTGAAGAACCATTGGGGTTCTTGACAAATTATAACGAAATGATTTTTGTAATATAGATTTGTTTCTCTTTTTATTTACAACAATAATACAATATGTACATACAATAAAGCAAGGAAAATATCCTCACGTACAGTACAGACAACGACAAAATCTTAATGCAACAACACCTTATAAAATACAATAGATTCAACCCATTATTACAAGTATATTCCATACCCAATCCAAGAGACAGCCAAAGTCCCCATACAAAGGGTGGAGGTGGGGGGGGGGAGGGGCCTCAGAGATCATACATCAATACAAGCCAATACAATACGAGTCATTATTAACCAACGTGACTTCACCGTGAGTCATTATTAATCAACGTGACTTCACCGTGAGTCATTATTAATCAACGTGACTTCACCGTGAGTTATTATTAATCAACGTGACTTCACCGTGAGTCATTATTAATCAACGTGACTTCACCGTGAGTCATTATCAACCAACGTGACTTCACCGTGAGTCATTATCAACCAACGTGACTTCACCGTGAGTCATTATCAACCAATGTGACTTCACCGGGAGTTATTATCAACCAACGTGACTTCACCGTGAGTCATTATTAATCAACGTAACTTCAACTTGAGTCATTATCAACCAACGTGACTTCAACGTGAGTCATCAGTACGTTAGTACAAATCACCTTTGTACAGAATCATCCTTCGTCTGCTCACTGTGATCAACCCGTCGTCTCAACTAATAGATTGCACTACAGTTGAGAGGCGGGACCAAAGAGCCAAAGCTCAACCCCCGCAAGCACAATTAGGTGAGCACTTTGAACGTTATAGCAATCAATGTACTATGACAAGTAGAGGCTCACATATCTCTACGTTTTTTTACGAATCGGCTCAATAGATTGGGTTGATTTTTTGGGTTTGTATATTTCTGGTTAAGATAATTGATTTTGAATGGAGTGGCAAAGTAAGAGAATGGGGTTACGTTATCATTCATCGTTCTTCAGTATGTCAATATTTCGTAAATAATGTTGCATTCATTTTGTTGCATATCGTGACCTGGTTTCAGGCGTCTGCTTGAAAATACCCAATGTGTAGGTTCGAATCCTCCTCATGGGAGGGAGCCGGTCGGCCGAGCGGACAGCACGCTGGACTTGTGATCCTGTGGTCCTGGGTTCGATCCCAGGCGCCGGCGAGAAACAATGGGCAGAGTTTCTTTCACCCTATGCCCCTGTTACCTAGCAGTAAAATAGGTACCTGGGTGTTAGTCAGCTGTCACGGGCTGCTTCTTGGGGGTGGAGGCCTGGTCGAGGACCGGGGACACTAAAAGCCCCGAAATCATCTCAAGATAACCCCTCAAGATGGTACCAACTGATTTTTCATATGTCATTTCAAGTTCAAGTGTGTTTATTGAGACAAGAAAATACATCTCAAAGGGATAGAGTAGGATAGGCTATTTCTACCCCCCCCCCTCCAACCTAGTCATATTCTCTCACCAATATCCTCAGTGTAGCTGCAAATGTTTAATAATAATAACAGTAATGTCATCTAAACACTAATAATGATAATTCCAAAATGACGTTACACAAGTGTGTACTTTATTAATGTATTGTAGTTGCATATTGTTAAGAAAAATGGGTTTCCTAAAATCTCGAATCTAAAATAATTTACCATGTGTAACTTGTATATAAATTTCTGGAAACTGACGATTTATTTATTTATTCTCGTGCACACTGAAAAATATGACGATATATTTAAACAATATACTTGAAAACATTAAAATGTGCTCGTTTCCCTCCATATTTTTTTTCTCGGATGCAAAGGGACCGAGCATGTTAGCTGGAGATGTAATAAGATTTTTTTCTTGTGTAACGATTTTATATTACACAAAGGAATCACATTAACGTGATGCATTAATGAGAAAATCAATATATTGTTGTGGTGGAATGATATACGAAAGCAAATCTTGGTGGGGGGGCTCGGGGCATGTTGAAGGAATTTTCGTAGCTGCTACGTTTAGGCTCGCGATCTGAACATGGTTGCTTATAAACTTGTAAGGGAGAAGGGTGACCGGCACAACATTATGGCACTGTTCACGAGTATTTTCGGGTGACTATTTGAGGGTTGGATCACCAGGGGCAGGGGCACTTCCGCCTACCACAAGTTTAACCATCCATTTATAAAGCGCTGTGCGCGTTCTTCCAGATCCTTGTTATTGGCTCTTATATACGACAAATTTTTGTAAATTACTTCATGATATTAATGCCCCGTATGATAAATTTCACATAACATCGTTTTCTTCATCTGGCACAGCTCATGGTTATCGATCTCTGTATTACCGATGTCGACGAAACTAGGTGAAACTTTGGCGCTATGTTGAGGCGCTGGGGGCATTTGACGGGCACCTACCCCAGGGTTATTTTAGAACCCAGAGGCGGTTGGTGCTGGCAGGACCCCACCTCCGACCCTGGTGACGGCCCTGGCTCTCAATCCCCGGCAGTGTGACCCCGACCCTCACGGGAACACCGCCATAATATCAGCCAAAGGGATTCCTCATCTTCCGGCGTGACTGTCACGAAGCGTCCGCCGACGAAGGGCTGAAGAAACTAATAGCATATCAAGATGATACGGCTAATATTGGGGACACTGCTGGCTCTGGGCCTCGTGCTACTAGCCGGCCAGACTCGTGCCCATAGTGCTAAGGCTGACGTTATTGAGGATATAAATGCCAAACAACTGGAAAATCTGGTAGCCGAGAGTGATTATGTGGCAGTGTATTGGTGTAAGTTTCCGCGAGCGGCAGTGGTGAGTGTGTAGTGTGAAGTGATCTCTTGATATCGGCAATCCTTTGGGACAGTGTCGGTTCCTCTGCCCGGGTAAGTAGCCTATCATTTTAGTGGGAGTCACTGTCCCTTCAGTACACGCCTCCAGCATTGAAGAAATAATATGACCATCGTTTAACTATATATTCTGCGAGGAATTGTCCTCCTTATACCTATTTGGGTAAAAATAAAATAAACGTGATTATGTTTCAGCGCGTTTCGGGATATCGCAAGTCACTAGCCTAACCTCGTGGAAAGAAAATGAGACACTATTTTTAGACAATTGTTATCGTAGTTTGCGTTCCATTTATATAAAATATTGCAAGTCGCTTCCAAATTATCAGTGGCCAAATCTAGAACTTAAATATCACTTGCCTACAGAAGTTATTTTCCGTGGCACACGATTGGCTTGCTGGTGGGCATTCTTCGCGCGCTTCCTCACCAGGAAGAAATCTGACAAATCCGTCCAGTTTCCGCATGGTCAAATGAAACCTGATGTGTGAACACCTGAGATATTCCCTTTCTGTTAATCCATACTCAGAAAGGCAAGCCTAGTACGCGTTCACATTGCCTTAGGTGTGCGTGCAGGGTCGAGCTTAAGCTCTTAGACCCCGCCTCTCCAGCCGTCGGTAATCTAATAGAATGACTCGACCTATTTTTTATTCAAGAGAAAATACTAACATCTCTATGGCTCACGTGTTTCTCAAGCTTTTCAACCATGCTCTCATATATATATATATATATATATATATATATATAATTAGATAGATATAGTGGGGTGGGGGTAGCCGGACCCAGGAATGGTAGCGAGCGACGTGAAATCGAACAATTATAGCTGGTGCAGCAGGATCAGGAGACAACATAGTCCTCAAGGTTAAATACTTGTCGAGGTTCTGTACGTGTTGCCCAGTTGCTTGCTGGCAGCATCCTGGAGCCCACTCCAATTTACAAGCCTCTCCATGGAGGAAAGGAAATATATATTTATATGCTGGTTAACATTGTATAAATAAATGATCACATCTGTAGTAGACAATAAACTAAAATAAACTCACGTACCTACTGGCTCGTGAGTAAACTCGCCAGTTTACCCTGGCTCTTGAGAAATATATTTTTGATATGTATTTAAAATTTTACAAATGTACACTGAACTAGCATGTTATGAGAATCTGTTTCAACTGTCGTACTAAATGGTATTTTAATTACTAGGTGCGTGACAGGTTTTTTTATTCTGCTATACAGCTTAATTTTTCTAGCGCAGGTGAGTAGGCTGTGCTGGAATGTAAAGGCTCTTCTATAATAGTTTTCATAGTACTATATTCGGTATTGTCCAGACTTTTAAGCACTATACTGTACTATATATTATTGTCTATATTATTGTTCAGTATTTTCGAGACTGTAATTCAGTATTTTCGAGACTGTAGTTCAGTATTCTTCAGAGTACAGCTGAACATTCAGTGGATTTCCAAAATATATTAATATTATTAAGTGCCTTTCATACAAGGCTTCATACATGATATGAGTGTTAGTCCTTAGCTACTTCCTGACCTGTGTATGGGGTTACACAAGGACCCTGACAGCCCCTCAGACTTTTATTGAATATCACATCAATACAAAAATAACATTTTGTTATTGGTGTGATTTGTTTTCGACGTTGGCTTTGTGATCTGGCATCATTAGTTCAAATTATAATCTTCAAGTAAAGGAAATGGTCATTACACACAGAAATCACACTAACGTGATATATCCAATGAACAAATCCACAAGGGCCGTGATGAGGACTCGAACCTGCGTCCGGGAATCCAGTATTTATCCAGTAAGTTCAGTAGAACTTCGGTTTCAACTCTTTTTAACCTTGTCGTAGCTCAGTCGATTAAGGCAGTGTCTGGGATGCTCCCGGACGCAGGTTCGAATCCTCGTCACGGCCCTTGTGGATTTGTTTAAAGGAAATGGTCATCCATATCTTGTGCTGATTCAACCCGTCCTAATAGAACGTCGCATTTTGACGTATACTCTACCTAAGGCCAAAAATCGTCGTATTAGAAAATGAAAGCGGCTCGCGAAACTGACATACTTACCCGCTTTCTGTTTTGGGTCCACTGCTAGGTTCGGATAAGGACACTTTAGCACGACAGTTTTTGACGTTGGGAAACCTTTGGGGAACGGGCTGGCTAGCTGATCACCCGTCTCGGCCCTAGATTTCATGCCTTAGGGATCACCCGGACAAAGCGCTAGGCTTCCAGCTGGACTGGTCATCTGGGCCAGATTCACGACGCAGTTACGCGAATACTTACAAACGTGTACATCTTTCCTCAATCTTTGACGGCTTTGGTTACATTTATTAAACAATTTACAAGCATGAAAACTTCCTAATCAACTGATGTTATTGTTATAAACAGCCTCCTGGTGCTTCGGAGCTCGTTAACTTTAATAATTGTAAACAAAGCCATCAAAGATTGACAAAAGATGTACAGGTTCGTAAGTGTTTACGTAACTGCTTCGTGAATCTGGCCCCAAGCCTTTAAGCCTGAATAGTCATCTGATGCTATCACTAGGCTTCTCAAGCCTGGACAGTTTCCCTGTTTCTGCTTTAAGACATCTTTTTAAAATATAACCTCGTTGCAGTTTATTAAATTGAAATTATAGTTAATAAATGAAATATAATTGTATATGCTTCCAATGTTCTTCGTAATACAATTGTATGTTCTTCCAACGTTATTTGCAAATGATGTAAGAATGTAATTAAATAAATGTGGATCTTAAGACAACAATTGCATGGTGACTGGTGACCGGGTCTTAAGTCGTTGGTGTTAAGATTTCTTGGTGTCAGAAATCACACATGATTTACGTGTCCACTAAAGAGCTCTCTTACCTCGATCATGTCAACTTATTTATTTACAACTTATCTGTATTTACTAAACAGTTTGCGTGCTCCGAGACGTTACGAGGTCGTTCGTAACACAACTAACCTTGGCTTGAGATCAACTCGTAGATCCAGTAGCTCGTAAGTTGTAGTAAATTCAGGGTAAGTCGCCATGGGCGAGATTATAGACATAGATATCGTAAATGGATACGTAAGTGTTCCTTGGCTTCTGGTCGGGTCGGTACATGTCTGTTCCTCGGCTAATGGCGTCATAGAGCTAAGGACGTCATAGAGCTATTTAGAGAGAGTGTGAGGGTGTCTCACTGATGACTGTCAAGTGTCGAGACGGAAGTCCACTAGTTTATCTTGTTTTTCCCCGTAGGGAAATTACTCTACTATTAATAATAGACGAGCGTTTCCCGCCAAACACACACCGAAACTACGACGTTGGTACAACGTTCGAACAAGTTTTAACACCACCTAACCAGTTATAACAACCAATATAGCAAGTTGTAACAACGTTCTAATACGTCATAAACACGTTAAGCCAAGATGTAACAACTTTATTACAAGTTGTAACAAGCGGAAAATAGAGACAGTTACGGTTTGTGTTTCCAGGGTTGTCTAGTTCAGGGATTTCCCATCTTTTCCCCCTCCACCTACCCTCCATCAACCAGGTAACCAGGTACCCTTTCGCCATTATTCGTATGACCCATGTATACCTGAGTAATGATACATAAACACATGCGGAATAACGACCTCTCGTGTACATTTGTAAATAGCATTAATAAATGGGTTAGTTGCCCCCATTTGTTGATGTTACCATTAACAACAATTTAATAGAAAATTATAGAATAATTTTATCATGAACAACAATTTAATAGAAAATTATAGAATAATTTTATCATGAACAACAATTTAATAGAAAATTATAGAATAATTTTATCATGAACAACAATTTAATAGAAAATTATAGAATAATTTTATCATGAACAACAATTTAATAGAAAATTATAGAATAATTTTATACTCTTTATCCCTGGTTGTCCAGTATTAGTTTCAAAGTCAGTGTACTAGGATTTAAATGTATAACAACTAAGTAATCGATCATCTTTAGAAAATATTTGATACATAAACTGCAGCAAAACTGAAATATAAGTTTTCATCTGTTATCTCATAACTTGCTTTTAAATACTACTAATAAGGTCTAAACTGCAAAGTGATTTAATGAGATTAATTCTCAGTAATTAATGAGAATTAATAGTAATTAATGGTTTGTACTGGTTGTGATCCACTAACCATGGGAGTCTAGGAGCAGTTTTGACTAAAGCAGCGAAAATCGGCTTCCATATTCAATTGAAATTTTATTTTAGATTTTGCGAGAGTTAAGCTGGGAATATCTTGAGGTTATCTTGAGATGATTTCGGGGCTTTTTAGTGTCCCCGCGGCCCGGTCCTCGACCAGACCTCCACCCCCAGGAAGCATCCCGTGACAGCTGACTAACTCCCAGGTACCTATTTACTGCTAGGTAACAGGGGCATTCAGGGTGAAAGAAACTTTGCCCATTTGTTTCTGCCTCGTGCGGGAATCGAACCCGCGCCACAGAATTACGATTCCTGCGCGCTATCCACCAGGCTACGAGGCCCCCTTAAATCCGAGGCCCCCCTTGGGAAATCCAGATTTTTTTTACAAATATGTTGTTTGGAAAGTTGAGAGATGGAACAGACGATGAGTCACAATACCGTGGCTGAAGTATGTTGACCAGACCACACACTAGAAGGGACGTCATAGAGCGGGCAGAGGAGGAGGGAAAAAGATTTTACTCGCTATTATATGGCTATAGTAAGGGGAGCCGGTCGGCCGAGCGGACAGCACACTGGACTCGTGATCCTGTGGTCCCGGGTTCGATCCCGGGCGCCGGCGAGAAACAATGGGCAGATTTTCTTTTACCCTATGCCCCCGTTACCTAGCAGTAAAATAGGTACCTGGGTGTTAGTCAACTGTCACGGGCTGCTTCCTGGGAGGTGGAGGCCTGGTCGAGGACCGGGCCGCGGGGACACTAAAGCCCCGAAATCATCTCAAGATAACCAACTATTGCGA